AGACAGCATTTTCTTCTAGCTTCCTCTCACCTGTGGGCCACTCTTCCTCCATCTCCTCTGCTTGTAAGTTACATATATTTCCGTCAACATTTCTCTTCTCTGCGAGTTCCCAACATGCATTTTTTCTCTATGTTTCAACTGCAGCTTGTGTGCCAATGATTCCCAAATCTGCACAGCACTGTTCCTGATCTCTTGCTTCTTTTTTTTTTAAATTTTTATTATTGGTTGTTCAAAACATTACATAGTTCTTGACATATCATATTTCATACATTTGATTCAAGTGGGTTATGAACTCCCATTTTTACCCCGTATACAGATTGCAGAATCACATCAGTTACACATCCACTGTTTTACATATTGCCATACTAGTGTCTGATGTGTTCTGCTGCCTTTCCTATCCTCTACTATCCCCCCTCCCCTCCCCTCCCCCCCCTCTTCTCTCTACCCCATCTACTGTAATTCATTTCTCCCCCTTGTTTTTTTTTTTCCTTTCCCCTCACTTCCTCTTATATGTAATTTTGTATAACAATGAGGGTCTCCTTCCATTTCCATGCAGTTTCCCTTCTCTCTCCCCTGATCTCTTGCTTCTGAACCAAAGCATCTTCTGGATATCTTACGAGTCCCTCTAATTCAGCATATTTCCAGAGCTGGACTATCCTTTTCTCACATTCAGTCAAATTTGACACCTTCCTTTGCCTCATCACTTACACTGTCATTAAACTTTAAAATGTCTTTTTATAGAACAATCCCTGTTCATTACTTCCATCTCCACTACTCAGTTAGGTCCTCATCAGGACTAGTAGATGGTTAATTAAAGGAACTCTGAAAATCAGACTAATTGAATTCCAGGTTTGTTTGTTTGTTTTAACTTAATAGCTGTGTGCTTTGGGTAAGTTATTTAACTTCTTTAAAGCTTGGTTTCCTCATCTGTTGAGTGGGACTAGCACCTAGAACTAGTGTAAGAAATTTCATGATCTCAATAAAATGTCATTCACAATGGCTGGCACGTGGTAGCCACTCAAAAACGTCATTTTTCTCACATCAGTGTTCTCCTTCCTGCCTGCCTTAACACATATTTCCCGTCTAATGCTCATTCAGCTATACCAGTTACTTCCTAAATCATGTCAGTCTTTGATTAAAAGTAAAAAACTCTGCATGCATTTTTATTGCCTATATTTAAAAGACTGTCTCTTAAAGGCATTAATGACTTTTTAGAAATCTAACCCCAAGCTACCTTTCCTGATAAAAACTCCCCACTGCTTAGCATATAACATACATATCTAAGATACCTAGTTAAGCCTTGCTTTCTTTATTGTAGTCATCCCATTCTCAAGATCTTCCCTTATTTTTTTTTTAATTTTGTAGTTGTACATGGACAGAATGCCTTTATTTTATTTGTTTTTTTATTTTTATGTGGTGCTGAGGATTGAACCCAGTACCTCACACATGCTAGGCAAGTGCTCCACCACTGAGCCACAACTCCAGCCCAAGATCTTCCCTTATTTCTATATTTTTGGTATCACCAGGGATTGAACCCCAGGGTGCTTAACCACCAAGTCACATCCCAGCCCTTTTTATATTTTATTTAGACACTGAGTGTTACTAAATTGCTGAAGCTGGCTTTGAACTCACGATCCTCCTGCCTCAGGCTCCTGAGCCACTGGGATTACAGGCATGCACCACTGTGCTCAGATCTCTTTTATTTCTAGGAGGGGAAATCGTATTTATTTTTGCATAAGCACCTGTTTTCACCAATGAATACAAATTCCTTGGAAGCAAAGAACCCTCCCTTATTAACTTGGTACATCGCATTCATTTATTCACCAAATATTTATTTTGAGAGCCAGGCACTGTGTAAGCATTAAGGAAACAACCACAAAGAATGATTGACCCATACCCTTAACAAGTGTATAGTGTGGTTAGGGAGATAGATACACATACGATTCCATTAAAGGGTAACAGGTGAAAGGCAGAGCAGTGCTCTAAATCCTGATCATATGTCGGAATTCCCAGGACTGAATTGTTTTCTCAGTACTGCAAATTAAACCCAAGGGCCTCTACCACTGAGCTCTTTCTCCAATTCTTTTAAATTTTTATTTTGAGACAGGGTCTTGCTAAATTGCCCAGGCTGGCATTAAATTTGCAATCCTCTTACCTCAACCTCCCAAACCAGAGATTACAGGTGTGCACCATTGTGCCTAGCTGAATTCTTTTAAAAATGCTAATGCCTTTGTTAACTACCAAAGATGCTGATTTAATTGGCCAGTGGTGTGTGTTTTTAAAGCTGCTCTGGAGCAGTTATGTCAAGAGAGTGTTGCAAACCTCTGGGATAGAGTTGTACACAGGAGACTATGGGACATGAGAGACTCATCTGGTAGCTGGCACTTGGGGTTGTCCTTCCTTTCTCCATGTGACTTAGGAGACAATGTCCCACCCTCCACTCAGGGGTAGATTCTGATTGTTCTTTTTGTGATTAGTTTAGGTAGGCAAAGGAAACTCACTCTGAACAAGGATACAGAGTGGGAGGCTGACTGTGCAAAGTTGGAAAAAGGTTTCCTACTCCCAAGGAAAATATGCCAGGAAAAATATACTGTTTCTGCTTCTGGACAATGCTGTGTCTGGCTGTAATATCTGGAATTGTAGAAGTCATACTGTAACCACAAAGGCAGAACTGAAATCCAGAAAGGAGATGGGTTCTGGTTGATGCAATTGTCAGTCAGTGCATCAGACAACCCTGTTGTCAGTCTACCTGTGCATTCCTTCATGTATGAAGGTAATTTTCTAATTGTTTATACTATTTCGAATACGAATACACTCTTTACCTGTAGCAGATGGCATCTCAACTGATATGCAACTAAACCAAAGTTGGGGATCAAGGAAAGGAGTGTAGTCCAGAGAAGGTGATATCTGACAGGAGTCCTCAGCAAGGCAGTTGAGAGGCAAAAGCAGCAAATTAAAAGACACGGGTATGAAAGTATGAGATATTCTTGAAACTGTATAGTTCAGAAAGCTACTGCAAAGCGTTTAAGCAGGGAGATAAGGCTGGGGGGTGGTAGACTGGGTCAGATTTTGCTGTGGTGGATTAAATATGGCCACAAATCCTTTGCAGCTCTTCCTAACAGGAGGAGTCATCTGTCAACATGCCATGCATCTGGCTGGCTTTGTGACTTGGTTTGACCAACAGAATACATAACGAAGTTATGTTTATTCTAATTCCAGAGCTGAGGCCTGCCTCTCCTGAATGCTGCCTAGAGGCTACCATGCTACCATGAGGAAGGTAGTTTAGCCCACTGAAGCATGACAGGACAGGTGGAGAACAGAGGTGGCCCCTCGATACCCAGTGCCACCTGCTGGGCCGTGAGGGAAAGGCCATCTTGAACCATGCGGCTATTTCCAACATCACAGGACTGAGTATGAGCCCAGTGAATCTAGAGTAGTAAGAACTATGACATCACTGCTGCATTAGCAGGGTTGAGAAATAATGGGGAACTGAACTAAGGCAGTGGTGGCAAGAAGGCACAGAAAAGTCATCACAGAAGTTTGTAAAATCCACATGATGGTGAATACAGGTTAAAGAGTGTAAAGGAGGAAATAAATTAGGTACCAGAGTTTTCTGGGATAGGTAAACAAAGGAATGATGGCACCAATCACTAAAGGAGAGATCATGGGAGGAAGAGAAGGTTGGAAGTAACTGGGGTACGCCCAAGTGGAGATGTACAGAAAAGGAGTTTTAAATATTAAATAAATGTTTGAAACATAAATTACTATGATTAATCTGGGAGAATACTGAAGTACTGTAGTCCAAGGAATCATCTTGATTTGATCTGTATGGCAAAATTTGAGTGCCTTCTAAAGCAAGTAAAGTTTTCAAAAACTTTTATTGGTGTGTTATAATTATACTTAATAGTTGGGTTAACTGTGATATATTTATGTATGCACCTAGCACAAATTCATCTCTTTCATTCCCTCATACCTCCCCTTTCCCTCCCCTCTTCCCTCCTCTGGTCACTTTCTGCTACCCTACTGGTATCTCTTCTATTTTCATGAGGTCCCTTTATATGAAAGAAAACCTAGGAACTTTTTAGAGTCTGGTTTATTTCACTTAGCATGATCTTTGGTTCCATTCACTTTCCTGAAAATGTCACAATTTTTGTAATTCTTTATGGCTAACTAAAACTCCATTGTGTATATATCTATATCTATCTATCTATCTATCTATCTATCTATATATATATATATATATACCACATTTTCTCTATTTTTTTTAGGGACACCTAGGCTGGTTCCATAACTTGGCTATTGCGCATTGTGCTGCTATAAACATGGGTATGTATGCACAGCTTTAGTATGCTGACTTTATTCTTTAGGATAAATACTGAGGAATGGGTCATAAGGTGGTTCTATGCCTAATCTCTTGAGTAACCTCCAAACTGATCTCCACAGTGACTGTACTAATTTCCAATCCCACCAACAGTGTATTCTTACCAGCATTCATTATTTTTTATATTGTTAATGACTGCCATTCTAATTGGAGTGAGATAAAATCTTGGTGAAGTTTTGTAAGTCAAGTAAAGTTTTAATGGTGTGAACTCATTCTATTGACACTTCATCAGAATATAAAGGAAAAGGAAAGTTTAAGAGTCTGTGCAATCTGAAATGCTGATAAATCTGCACACTGTTTAGCTTATGTGCTTTAATCTGTAATCTCAGAGCACACTTGTAGCATACAGTGGTCCTATACAAGGCACTGCTGCACTTTTCGGTATCTCCAGAGGGTAAGTTCTATTATACAAGTTCTCTCTGTTTCTTTCCTGCAGATTCTCCTATCCTATAGAGCATGAAGGGGTCTCCATATGCTAGAAAGAATGAAGACTACAGCTAGAGAGAGTCTACTTCCAAGGTGCATATTTTGTCAAGTGGGCACAATATGTGATTTGCCAGTATAATAAATTACGCAGGCTACAGACAACATCAATATCCACAAGTAAATACTGACTTACCTTTGATATTGGTTAAAATAGCAAGTAAATGGCTGGGAACCAATCTCATCTTTCCAGTACTGTTGCCAATTCATGACACTTTCCAAGTTCTTCTGATTTTCTCTCTTACAGGGAGGAATATAGGAGCACTAACAAAATAGAACACAGAGAGTACAGCTATTATTCTAGAGAATATTAAAATATACTCCATTTTTCTTCAAAGATGTTCTTTGATTATAGTGCATGGCTTGAGACTGATAGGAAAGCACAGATTGATAGGAAAGCATAACCAGGGCAACTACTGCCCTGGTTAGCACTGAATGCCCATCTTTTTTTTTTTTTTTTTTTTTTTTTTGGTAGTTGTAGATGGACCAAATGCCTTTATTTTATTTGTCTATTTTTATGTGGTGTTCAGGATCGAACCCAGTACCTCACACGTGCTAGGCAAGCACTCTGCCACTGAGCTACAGCCTCAGCCCCTCGAATGCCCATCTTGATGGCCACAGATGTGCCAACGGTGTCACCACTAGGCATTAGGGTTTTCACAATGCTACCCATCAGCTCCTGCTCAGGTGTTCTAATCATGAGACAGGAAAAATTGCCAAAGAGAGCCCTAGCCATCATACTCTTACCATCTTAATATGGTCAAAGTAGTTGGATTGGGACTATCCACAAGGACCCACAGCAACTGGCATCTTGCTTGTGGCCTTGGCTCCTGGTCCATTTTTACAGGGAGATGGCACTGTGCAGATGTTAAATCCAATTTAAACCTAATTTTTAAATACAACCAAATTGAAATTGCTTCACTATATTTCAAATTTCCAATTTGGTACAATGGCAAAAAAAAGAAAAGAAAAGAAAAGAAATAAAAAAACCCTCCAGTGACTAAAATACCTTTAGCCATTAGGATATAAGGACATTTCATAAACAAAGAATTACAATCCAATGACAAATTAAAAGCATAATATATCTTCTCTTCTGGGGAGCCTGCCAGTCAACAGAGGGAGCGGGGGAAAGTTCATTTTTATCATCAATTCCTATCTGTGGACCTTGGCATTTTTCTCTTCCACTTTTAACTATTAAATCAAGCTCATGCCTAGATCGTCTCCAGATCCTACTTCTCAATCACTGAAACTTAAGTTTTCTTTTCTTACATTCTCTTAGGCAATGAAATCAGCAGAAAACTTCCTTCAAGCATATAATCAATGTATTTTGCTAACTGATGTTTTTTCCTAGCCATGCCGCTGACAGAGTAAATCTCTTCAGGGGGCTCAATTACCCTAAACAATACAGATTCAGCACCACTGAAAATCTGATTTTAACTCCAGTTGTTAAAATGAGCCCTAAACATCCTAAGCCATTTTCTCCAATTCAGACTTTTATAAAGATGAAGATGATTCCAGCTTATATTTATTATTTACAATATGCCAGAGACTGTAATGAGTACTGAATGGGACAGAACTTGTGTACATTTTTTTTCTTTTCTTTTCTTTTTTTTTTTTTTTTTTTGGCACTGAGGATGCTTTATCACTGAGCACATCCCCAGCCCTTTATTGATTTTTTAAAAAGTATTTGTGTAAATATTCTGCCATTTAATTAATTAATTAATTTGTTTATTTGTTTATTTTGGCACTGGAGATTGAATTCAGGGGCACTTGACCACTGAGCCACATCGCCAGCCCTATTTTGTATTTTTTTAAATACAGACAGGGTCTCACTGAGTTGCTTAGTGACTCACTGTTGCTGAGGTTGGCTTTGAACTTGCAATCTTCCTGCCTCAGCCTCCCGAACCTCTGGAATGAGAGGCATGACCACTGCACCTGGCTTTTTTTTTTTTGAGACAGGGTTTCATTAAGTTGCTTAGAGCCTAGCTAAATTGCTGAGGCTGACCTTGAACTTGCAATCCTCCTGCCTCAGCCTCCAGAGCCACTAGGATTACAGGCATGTACCACCAAGCCCAGCACTCAACGTATTTCTTACAACAGCCCTCTAATGATCTCCATTCTATAGATGAGGAAATTGAGATTCCTGTCAGGTCTACAACTAGAAATAGATTCCAGTGATTTTATCACATTCTACTCACAGATGTTTTACCAAGGTGTCTGATATCAAGAAGCAGAAACACAAAACAAGACAAAGCATTAGCTTTAGAGTACAATTTGAGTTACATTCTTTTACTTATAGCAAATCATTTTGCAATGCCTTCCCATTATTTCTGGTGAAATTCAAAAAATTGAGCACTATGTACAAAACTATGATCTGGCCCCTGTCTGGTTACATCTTCATTTAATCCTGGGATACAGCTAGACAGAAGCCACAAATCTGCCACATGCTGTGACATTTACCTGCCTGGCACAAACTTTTATCTCCTTTCAATGTCCCTTTTCTTTCATCCCTTTCTTTGGAGTCAGGTCTAGTGTCACCTCTTTGGGGGACCTTTTCTTTTTGCTGCCTATTAGGTGCTCTTCCCCTGTGCTACCCCAGGATGCACATCTCATGATATCACAGCCAGAACCACAGTCTCACACTGCCTGTCAGCCTCCCCTGGGAGCTGGCAGGTTGAGAGCAAAGGACTGCTGTTTTTCTTTTCTGTCTTCACACTGAGGACCTTCTAGAAATGATGCAGTTTCAAAAATGTTTGTTGATTTAATAAAGGTCTTCTGTACATTTTTTATTCAAGATGATAAAGCTATTTTCAGTAAATACCTTAAAAATATACAGTGTGCTTAAATTTTTAATATATTTGGTTGTTTTCTATTATATAAAACAAATTTACAACATGTTATACAAATACTATTTTAATGACTGGACTACTGTGCACATATAGTGTCACTTTTATTACTAGCAGTAATATAAAGCTGTGAGATACAGATTTTGAGTTCTTCCAATGCTGCACTTAGGCTTAGAAGCAAAGGAGACTAAAGGCTTTAGTCCTGTGATTCATTAGGTGTTGGGCTTTGGACAAATGTCTCCTCTTTTCTGGATTTCATTTTTTCTAACCTGTAAAATCTCCAAAATAATTTCTAGCACTACATTTCAATGACTACATTATTGGAGACACATCAAGAGAGAACCCAACAGAAGACAGGACTACAAACACTATTGCAGTGATTTTCCCAGAAGAGATCCTGCCCACTGAGGAGAGGCTGGGAACCCTGATGAAGCCCCCAGACTCCAGCCAGCAAAGGAGATCAGTGTGGGAGATCCCTCCCTGGAGGTCTGGACTTTGCATTAGAAAAACATCCATAAGAGGATCGTGATTTTTCCAATTGCTTAACTTTATACAATGTGTTGGATATTTCCTTTCTATTAAAATAATTTCTTTCTATACACAGTCAATTAGTTTATAAAGCAAGAATAAGTGCCCATTTATTGTGGTATTTCTAGGAAGGAGAAATTTTCAGTTTTGAAGGAAGAAACTGTGGGGTATAAATGTCCCAAAATTTATCAAAGCCCTTTTAGCAATGGTTATCCCTGCACAAGAGGTAGACTCAGTATTTCAAAAAATGATAATTAACAACCAAAAGTAATTAAAGTATATTTACAATTTTTGAAAGATAACTCAATTTGAATTCTTTACTATTCAGGTTTTGGGGGGAGAAATTGTTTTAAAAGAAATGTGTCTACAAAATGCCAATTCTAAGATTTGACCGCATGCATGTTTCTAAAAACAATCAGACAAAAACTTTCACTGAGTGTGGAAACTTTTGTATTAGATATGTTGAGCTTTCAAGTGATCAATATATATAGTTTCATGTGAAACAAAATATATACATTTCTTGGCTTTAGGAAATTTAGAGCTAGTGTGGATAGATTCTGAGAGCAAAGACCTTTTTTTTTTTTTTTTTACATTGCAGAAAATAACTTGACAATAAAATTAAGTATCCTTAAAACTTATACTTAAAATTAAGTATTCCGGATTGCATTCTTTTCAAAGAATATCATAAATTAAATATCATGTAACACTCTAAAAACTTTGCAAAACACTGTCTTGAAAGGAAAAATTTCAAGACTAAATTTTGTGTTCTTAAGAATCATTAATGTTATATTTTCTCAAATCTTTTTTCTCCAATTGATTTGTCCTTAAATTTTCTGTGAGGCCTATTGCAGATCTTCCCTATGTCCCTTCTCAATTCTACGCAATAGATCATTATAGATGGTGAGAATTTTAAATACATTAGAAATGAAAATTCAAAGCAGTGTTCTAGAGAAGCAAAACTGGGAAAATCAACCACAGACTTCTTTCTAGGTCATTCAAGTGTGATGGTTTTCCATTCTCTGAAAGGGCTCCACCATGAATATATCCCTCCTTTGGTGGGGGGGGCAAATAATAATCTACATCATATCATCATCATCATCACTACTTCATCATAATGATTAACATATACTGACTTTGTGTCAAGCATCTCATTAACCCAAATAAACAAATATTATAATCATGCCCTCTGCATAGATGAGGAAACGTAAAGACAGAGAGATTTAAGAAAACATTCCCAAGATCACCATGGCAAACAATCTGGGGCTCAGATTGCAGAGTGTTCTTGACACTGTTCCACACTACCTTCCACATTTCTGTCTGTAGAGCTTCCCATTTCTCTCTTTTGGAGTTCCCTGATCTGGGAGATGCCCTGCCCTCTGCATGCCTCTTCTGGAGAACCAGCATACTGTTTCTGTGCAGCCTTTCATTTTCCTGATCAGTTCCAAGAAAAATGCACTGTGTTTGCTCCTGCCTCTGTCTTCAAGTTTGGATTTTGGCGCTATGGATGTAACTTCATTTAGGTGAATCTGCAGACACAGTGCCTGTGCTCACGGAGGACAATATTCCCTTGGAGAAACAACTTCACACAATTCTGATATGTATCATTTTTTCATTTGCAAAGCATTTCCCCACTTCTAATACCATTAACACACACACACACACACACACAAAAAAAAAAAAAACACCTTCAGAAGAACCTGTGTTGTTTGCAGCCAGAACTTGGATGAGATCACTTTAAAAAAAAAATCAGGAGAAACTAGGTACAGTGGCACATGTTTATAATCCCAGCAACTCAGGATGCTGAGGCAGGAAGATTGCAAGTTTGAGGACAGCCTTAGCAACTTAGGCAGACTTTGTCTAAAATAAATAAATAAATAAAGGATTAGGGAG